TTTTTTTTTTTTTTTTTTTTTTTGTAAAATTAAGATTTAAACATTTAATTTAATTTTTTTTTTGGAGGGAAAAAAGAATTTAAATTAAAATCGAAAAAGGAGTCTGTCATTTAATTCTGTCCCCTTAAACTGAAAAAATCCTATTCGGAATCCGTAAACTTCTTAATTATATATATAATAAATCTTCATTATTTCCCAAATCACAATCCCACGATGATTATCAAAAGAAAATTAGTCCGCAGAATTTGCAGAACCCATAAATTTCCTTATTCAAGGTCATTAATGGCGACGGCGACGGCGGCGCCGATTCTCAAAGTAGAGATTGGCTCCTTCTACATTCCCAAACACAACCCTTCAAAACCCCTCGGGGAAGACGCCCACTTCGTATTTTCCGATAAATTGGTTGCCGGCGTGGCGGACGGCGTTGGTGGTTGGGCTTCCAAGGGCATCGACGCCGGCGTGTACGCCAGAGAACTCATCGGGAACTGTGTAGTTGCTGTTTCCGGAGATACCGGCACCGTCGTGAAACCAAAACGTGTATTGACGGAGGCCCACTCCCGGACCACTGCCGCCGGGTCGTCGACGGCGTGTATTGTCTCCTTCGATGGTGAGTTTTTACGGGCGGCGAATCTCGGCGACAGTGGGTTCATGATTTTCAGAGGCGGGATGTTTTGTTACCGGTCGCCGGTGCAGCGGCGGGGGTTTAACCGTCCCTGTCAGATGGGGATTGGTGAGAAGTATGATAAGCCGGCAGCGGCGTGGAGTGGGAAGATTCAGATCGCGGCTGGAGATGTAATCGTAATCGGAACGGACGGGCTTTTTGACAATGTGTTCGCGAAGGAGATTGAAGATATTCTGGTGGCGGAGGTGGCGGTAGATACGGCAGAGAGTTTGGCCGGACTGTTGGCGGAGTTGGCGTTGTGTAACTCCTCCGATACGTTAAATGACGGGCCGTTTGCGAAGGAGGCTCGGGAGGCCGGCCGGATCCACCGTGGAGGGAAGCTCGATGATATTACCGTCATTGTTGCACAAGTTACCGCGTCTTGAAGATATTTTTTTGAGAAATAACTCAGCTAATTTTTTTTTTTTTTTTTTTTGTTCTGCACAGTAAAATTTGCTATTTTTTTTATTATATTTTTTTAATATAGTCTAATTTAAATATTACAATTAAAGGAGCGATACAGGAATATTATCTCATCCGAACCTTATTTATCTAGCGGACGGAACTGATAATATAATCTCATCCTCAACCCGATTTATCATCATAGTCGGACAAAATATTCTTCACTCCCTCCCCTTTCCTTATCTAAACGGGAATCCTCCTCCCATTCAGGACAAGTTTCTGGACCGGTAAAATTGATATCTCTAATAACACATATCTTAACAAGAACTTGTTTGTTTAAATTAACTTAATATATATTAAAATATTAATTATATGCAATGATCGAGATATTATTTGCTCTCTTGAAATTCTTATTATTGTTATTTTTTAAAAAAAATAAAAAATAAAAGATCAATAATAAAAAAAAAATTAGAGGTTGAAATGGATTGTCTAATCGGGTCGGGTCACAAACTCTTGCTTCAAAGTCCAAACTTCCTCTACGTGCTGTGGGCCTTCATTATTGGGCCTCAAGCCCTTCTACTTTAAATATAATAGAATTTTATTTATTTTTAACAAATTAATCATATCCATACTCGAATATTTGTCACCTATTATTTTAACCTATGATATTCACATTTATGTCTCCATTTAATCATCTATATTCCTAATTTCGTCCTCTTTCCAAATATTCGAAATTAAGAACGAGAGCGATAATTTAAAATTACACCAAAGTCAACTCATTGATATGCTATGACTCAGTGATCGAAATCTTTTTCCATGTCCGCAACAGAGCCTCTAGTATATGCTTACTCTTTTGTGTCGTATATTCCGACGTCATAAGTGAAGTTTGTTGAGTCTGTCAGTGCTAGAGTTATTCCTCTTATTTATAACGAGTAGACTGACATTCTCATTAACCACTTCTGAAAAAAATTCAACCTTAAGGAATCAAATTCAACTTTAAGGTTATTATTGAAGATAAACTCAAATCTCTACTATTTAACTGTGCTTACAAACACGACAAACACGTGTTAAAATAATTAGTACGAGAGAATATTTTGGTGGGACAAGTTTTGATAGCCACAACTTATTTCTATATATATATATATAATTGATGGATATTTTTTAGATATTACAATCGACGTGTCGTCCGAACCATGTTCTCACTACGACATGTCGATTGATATCGACATTTAACGAGTAAAAGAAAAACTACTGGTTATTTCTCATAATTTTGACTCCTGTTAAGAGGAGATATTTTTGCTGGTCGTTCGACCAGACGGGACATCAATGGCGGTCTTCGTCTTCATCGAATCATTCTGAAGTCCTTTCCTCTCAGTTCTCCACAGAAATTATTCTACCTGCTACTGTTCCCGCAATGCTAAAAGAAGTGGTTGGCTTCGCGCCCACCATTTCTGAACTCCCCGGCCGCCAATCCCATTTCACTTTTTCTCCGTCTCCGATTTTCATCTTCAAATACCTATGGATCTCCTTCTTGATCGTCTTCTCCTTCAAATTTAGCCTCGTCGACGCAGCTAATTCGTTCCCGAACATTCTTATGCCGTCTCAATTTGTTCTCGATTCGTCTCCTTCGTGTACGAAAATGGATCTGAAGTTGAATTACCATCCGGTGATCGGAATTCTTAGCCATCCCGGCGATGGTGCGTCTGGTAGATTAAGCAATGCGACGAATGCTTCTTACATCGCTGCCTCGTATGTCAAGTTCGTCGAATCGGCCGGAGCGAGAGTTATTCCGATTATCTATACCGAGCCGCTCGAGGTTATTTTCGAGGTAATGATTAGGGTTATGAATTTTGAGACCTCGCTAAGCTCAATTAGGGATGATCGAGCTAAGTTCTAACAAAAATGTTGCAGAAGCTCAATTTGGTCAATGGAGTGCTCTTCACTGGCGGCTGGGCTAAAAAGGGTTTATACTATTCCATTGTTGAGAAGATTTTTAAGGTTATATTGTCTTCTGCTATAATTAGACTGTTTACTCAAAGCGTTTTTCCATAATGTGATTGATTGTGGTGTTTCTGCAGAAAATTTTGGAGAGGAATGATGCTGGGGAACGTTTCCCTTTATATGCCGTTTGCTTGGGTTTTGAAATCTTAAGCATGATCATCAGCAAGGTTATCCATTCCCTATCATTGACTAAATGATTCTGCAATCCTTTTATTGAATTCCCTTAGTTTTTTTTTTTTTTTTTTTTTTTTTTTTTTTTTTTTTTTTTTTTTTTTTTTTTT